TTTAATGTTTTTTATTTTCTTAAATAATAAAATGCCGTATCCGTTGCAAAGCTGGCAGAACAGACACACAAAATGATATTATTTATGAAATTTATTGAATAAAGCGTATATGGACGCCTTTAAAAAGCCGGTCGTACCTTTTCAACGCTTTCCAGCTGTTATTGCATTGTCGTTTTTGTGTATGTGTCTATAGTATTCTATAGCTATTGAAGTCACATCTAAGTTCCGCACCTGCGAAAGAGAGCAGAAAAAAACACACCGGCAGACGCATTTCCATTCTTTGAACGGAATTGAATCTGTTTATGTCATTTATTTATTATAATAATTATACATGACACGGTCTATGTGTGTAATATAACTACACAGACAAACACTGGGAGAGTTTCATTGATTCCGCACAGGCAAAATACTCGCTAGTTAGAAGCAGCAGCAGCACCGTTTCAAATGCCTCTCTCCATCATTTCAAGCAGCAGCAGAAGTACGACGGTTGCCGTGGAAACGAAACATTCGCTTTGTTTGCCTGTCAAATTCTATGCGATAGCGAAATGTTTTTGCCGGTGCGCGACTTTCATGTCGGTCAATAATTCTTTGTGCAATTTTTCTGCTGCTGCTACTTCCTCAGGGCGAACGCGATTTTTTTTCCTTCCTCTGGTTAACTTGTGCTTCGAGTGGTTTGAGATACTTGTTAGAAAAAAATAGGGGGATTTTTCTGCTAAGAAATGGCATGTGTTCTATAGTGTATATCATTTCGCTACGGCAGACGCCCTTCACATAAGCCAAGCTAATACCGACTCATTTCGCAGGGGACCATTTCATGCAGACCCATTTCATTTTATTGCATTCAGACCCATTTGGAATGGTGTGTCGATAGAATGTACTAAATATATTGAAACAAATGTCCATCCCATCACAGCACACTCTCTGCACACACAAAAACCTGATTCGTGTGCAAATACGTCGATGTCATACACTTCCGCTCATTGTGATTTTTGGTGTTGTGACCGTTGATGGGCTTGTCGTGTTCCAACGAACGATGTGCCGCTGCTCACACAATGCTCATTTGTTTGAACGTGTGTTTGTGTGTGTTGATATTCATTGTTTGGATTTAGTCTAGCCTTTGCTCAGCTTATCAATTCACACCCGAACATTCGGCGTCTTTTCAAACAGCCAACATTTTAATTTGAAAACACATTTATTGCGGTCTCGTTCACATCCAATTTTTTAACCGACGGCTTATCAATATTTGCGGTTGTTGTCAGAGATCACATCGATAAGTCTTTTCCTATGCACCATATTTTCTCGATTTATCGCTTTTGGTCTACGATTTGTCTAGCCGCTGCGGGATGGAAATTGCAAGCATTGAAATGCATAAATTCATATTTCGAATAGAAAAATATTTTGGGCATTGAAGTTGGGGTTCAAAATCTGGAAAATGTCGATAAAAAAAGGAAAAAGAAAAAGATACTCAAGATTTACATCAACCGAAAAAAAGAAACACGAGGAGAAATGCTCTCATAAAATTGATGCAGCGCATTTCATATGCTTCATCGGTCTTTTTCTCGTTGAAATCTTTTAATATTTAATGTCTCGACTCAACCCCAAAACCGCTCTTATTCTCATCGGAATACGGAGGGATTGAAGAAACCAAACGCATAAAATGTCAAAGGTTTTATGCATCAATTCCATCTGAATGAAAGTACATGCGCCCACACACGCGCTTGCGATTTAGCATGCACGCAGTTAATTTGCATTCTGCTCCTTTTCCACCGCACACAACGCAACGTTTGATTCGTTTGCAATATGGTTTCATTGTAATTTAATATTTTATAATCAAAAAACATTCCATAAATGCGCTGATTTTTCGATTACTATGCATTACCGACCGATTCCATGAAACGTGATGAAATTCAGTGGAAATATATAAATGGAATCTAAATGGAGTGGAATGCAAATTGACGACGACGTCGACGACGATGATGATGATTCGATTCCCTTTTAATGAAATTAAGACAAGGGTGCATTTATTTATCGTATTTTTTTTTTCTTCTCCGTTTTGGTGTGAAGGACACATTGAACTCACCAGACGTAGTTTGTTCGTCTTATTAACAACACATTTTATTGCTTTGTTAATAAAACGAAAAATGCATTAGCAGTTCCAATGGCAATGCATGTCACGATACAAAATCAAATATGGTAAAATATGCACCATCACAAATTGAAAAGATTTTTCAATGTCCGTAATAGAATTAATTTGCAGTGTGTCAATGCGGTGCTTTTTTAGACGAGATTCACTGTTTTTTTTCCTAATGGAGAGATGCAGTGCGGTAAAAGGATTGACAACAGTTTTGATTGAATGCGCCTGAATTCGATTAAACGTTCGAAATTCAATGACGGATGCTCTTCATGCTTGAAATTTCCTGTATTTTTCGATGTAACGGAAATACGATGAATGTTACCGCATCTCGGCACAGCTCTCGGTTTTTTTTGCAATTACTAGCAGATTTTTCGTTGAACGCTTACCGAATGTAAATATTCTCTTTCGTCTGTGAGAGATAAATAAACATTGATTTCCTCCAGCTCGGCTAGTTTCGTTTAATGGAAATTGATGTTTGTTGAACACATACTGCATTCGGCTCTTTTTCTTCTTTTTTTCAAAAGAAACAAACGCGTCTTCTTTTCTTTCCGGCTCTATTTTCTCATTATATGCTTGCTGCACTTGAACAATCGACCAACTCAATGGGAAAAAAACTACTGTTTTTCAAATCAGCCACATACGAGTGATTCCATTGAATATGTCTGTTTGAATATCATAAACTGAAACGACGCCATAAACCAAAAAATAGTGAAGAGATTTATTACGACACAGCCAAACTAATTTGCAATTATAAAATTGGAAGAAAAACGAAGTATTTTCAAGGCAATAATATGTTTTATGGTCAATACGGTGAAAATTATTCGTTTTTCAATCGTCTAGCGGGTCATTGTAACAACCAACAGCAGCGTGTGTATATCATGAATGCATCGTTGACTGTCATGCGGAATACTGATAGAGTCGATGTATTGAATGGAGCATAGACAGATATAAGAACATAGACGGAATATTCAACACCGAGAATTTTACAGAATATTTTGTTGTTATTGATCAGTGGAATTGATCATTTATTTATTGATTGACGCATCCCATTTACATAATCAAGTATGAAAATAGAAATGGTTGTTTGTTATGTCGCAATAGGCCACAGAGAGCAAGTCAAACAGTCTATTAGTAGCATCCTCTTTAATTCTATTAAAACTGTTCAATTGTGTTGGGCCTGTGTGCAGCCATATTCTGGGTCAAACACAGACCGTGTCTGTTCGTCAATTAGAAATTTGTTTGAATTTTGATGTGCGTTCTGAAAACTAGAATAACAACAGTGTTGTTTTTCTCTCTTTTTTTCCCTCTTTGTTCTCTATATTTCGCTTAAACTCTCTTCCTCTATCGCTTTACCTCTTTCGATGGTTCTTTTTGCGCAGTTTTCCGGTCAATTGAACTGAAGTCAAGCAAAACGCGTAAACGAATTGGTTTCGTTTATCTGTATTGGCTCGTTGCCAAATGGAAAATTCTTGATCAGAAATGTTTTGACCCACACAATCAATCGACTTGAAATAGTTCAAATTCGTCTGATTCCATTTAAAATTGAACGAAATTCGATTGATGTTATTTTATTATGCATAGGATTAGAAAAGAATGGCCAAGAAATAATGAAACAAACATCATTGTAATTTGTAACAAATGAACGTCACGTTCAGTCGTCGATCGCATTTAATTCATTAGAACATGACACGATGTGGCATGCTTTTCTTCCATCAAAAAAGCGGTTTTATTGACCGCTCTCTCTCTCTCTCTCTCTCTCTCTCTCTCTCTCTCTCTCTCTCTCTCTC